AATTACAACTCGATATATCTGTGTGTGTGATGACTCTATAATGACTGTATGCTTTATACGTTGTTTTGACCCCGTCGTAATGATAAAACAAATATAAAAAAGAATACTCGAACATCTACAATATAATTGTTTAAGTTTGAATTGAGGAGGAAAATAACGTGATACAAATAAATAGTAATGAGTCTTAACAATCTTCACATTTACCATGATATGGAAGGTTAACGTTCGAGACTTAACAATAGAATATTTGTACGCAGCTGCAATATATCTTTTGTCAATTCACTTTTATTTAATTCTGTTTAACACGTAATCACGAAAACATGTTATGATTGTCTTTTTCCTCTTTTGTACAATATTAAACACTGCATGGTCTGAACAGTACCAGAAGCTCCGCATTTAAAGTAATCACGAAAACAAATTTAAATGGGCTTGTAAGAACTTAACTTTTCATTTATTAATGTGGGAAGAACAAAAGAAAATGTGTTACTTTCTTCAATAATTAATAATAATAATGTGAGTAATAGGCTAGTTTTCTCTAATAGTGAAAGAAGTTGAAGATTTAATTAAATGGCTAATGTATGTACAATGATTATTACTTTCTTCTTACAGATGTTTTGAGTAAGAAGTGCTGTAGTTTAAAAGAAACCTTATCTGAAAAACCTTTGGAAACCTAACCTTTGAAAATCCTAATCTGAAAAACCTTAGGATGGAAAAACCTAATCTGGAAAACCTAAGGATGGAAAAACCTAATCTGAAAAACCTTAGGATGGAAAAACCTAAAATTTGCATCTATGTTTTTGGTTAAAAATTATAGTTTATGTTTCAAATAGCCCATTATATGTTTGGTTAATATTAAATATTAAATTTATTGACTTTGTCAATCAAATTAAGAAATGTTGAAGAGAATATTTAAAAGTTATTATTATACTTGAAATACAGACCACTAATAGAAAATATTCTGGAAGCTCTATAGTTGTGAAAATGCTTATATTAGGACATTCCAATAGCAAAAAAAGGTCTTTGATTTTTGCCATAATTTCCATGCAAGTGAGAAAAAAACAAGTTAATATGAAACTAAGACAAGAAGTGCAAATTCTTGTGAAACCTTTGTCATTTTATTATGTGAAAACATAAGCTTTTATTTAACTATTTTTCTTTCGTCTCTTCTGTTTTCAAATTCATCCCATATTATTTTTGTATTTATTGCGATTTTATTGAAACTTGTAAGCTAACGCATAAAAAATTTCCATGAAAGATAAAAGGATATCCACGCTATGTAAAGATTTCGACGAGACAATTTCGCAATTTCTGAGGAGAGAGATGTGAGGCAGGATGAATGATCTCAAATAAAATAAAACAGTATAAAAAATAAGGTAAATAACCCTTTCTTCCGTTTAAATCTACAACTTCTACGTTATTTTTGTTAATTATATATTACATTGATAATTTATTGTATATTTGTATTAAAATTAATATCTGGTATAAACTATGAAAATTTCACTTCCACCATGGTATTGTGCTTACCCTAGTTTCTGTCTGACGGTTTTAACCTGCTTTTAAAGTTTAAACCAGATTTTGACCCACAAGAATTTGCTCTCTTTTATTTAAATCAGTATTTTTGAATTAATATAGGATTAACTGTTTTACTGTGTGATATATATTATAACAACAATTGAAATCTATTTTTCCATTTTAAAGTTTACTGTCTGAAAGAAGCACGAGGAAAAAATGTATTTAATGTTTGTAATAAAAAAATTCTCAAAATTATAATCTATTCACTTTCAATGAAAATAATGAAAAACATCAAAATTACATTTGTATTTTACTTTAAATTAGTTTTAGTTGAATAACATAAGCGATACCATTATCGTATTCATATATATTTTTAAAAAAAAATAATTAACTTTCATGGACTATTATGGACATCATCAATAATATTTTTACTTGTCAATTATTTTGAAAAATTTTGTAAGTTTACATCCTTACTTAAACTTTTTAAAAAATTCTATTGTTATTCATTTTGAAAGATTTTACTTTAAGTTCTCTTGAAAATTCACATAATTTTTTTTCCATTTAGAATTTTATTATTTGACTTATATTTTAAGATTTTTAGAAGAAGAATCGTAACAATGTGCAGTGCATGTTAATTCAGATGAGATGCATTGGTTTATAGATATATCTTTATAAGTATTTAAGTGTCATGTAATAAATGCTCTTACAAGGGAAACTAGGGAAGTGTGACTCGCCAATTTTGAACTAAACTGGTGGGATGTATGCCTTATGAGGAATAATTTTAGGGGGCAACATTCGTTTCGGCCCATAGAAGGTCCTGTGAGAGATAAAAAAATAATTCAATATGTAGAAAAATCGGTATTTTATTACTTCAATGCAGACTATTAGTTATTGTAATTGTCTCATACTGCAATTAATTTTGTGGTACTTTCACGTACTATATAATGCATATTTATTGTCAAAATTGATTTCGAAAATTTTATATATCTGTAGTTTTTCAGAAAAA